CTCTCCCCCCTCCTGACAACCTTGAACTTCCATTCTAGAATCTTCCCCACTCATGCCATCCATTACAGTTGGGCAGCTATATAAATTTGAATGATAAATAATCAATCTACATGCCCAGTTTGCAGAGAAAGAAGCAAGTACAGGTAGTCCTTGAGTTATGATGGTAATTGGGACCAGAATTTCCATTGCTAAGCAAAGCAGTCATAAAGCACAATGTCACACGACCACAAAGTTTACAACGGCAATCCCAGCAGTCACTATTGCTGTCCTTAACCAAATGCCACCAGTCATTAGGCAAGGACCCACTCTGATCCAAGCCATTCCCACCTTGGGCCTTCCCAGCCCCCGGCCCTGGTAAGGTAAGGGACTGCCTCCTCTTCAACTCCCCCCATCTGCCTATCTCCCCACCTATCCTCTGCCCTTTTGGCTTCCCTGTACAGCGGTGCTCTTGGTGGTGCTGGGGCTGAAGTAGAGGCCCAGGGCCTTCAGCAGCCAACCGTCACTGCCCTTGGGCCTCTACTTCAGCCCCAGTGCTGCCACTGCCAAAAGGGCCAGGCCAGGCACGCTGTCTCAAGTGCAGGAAGAAGACAGCGAAGGTCAGCACAGCAGGGCCTATGGAACGCAGGGCGACTGGGGCTTGGCGCTGTGGCAGCTGGCTGCAGTGTGGGGCGTGAGGCACTCTCCTTGGCAGTGGCCCCAGCAGTGCTGGGGCTGAAATAAAGACCTGGGATCAGTGGTGGCTGGCTGAAACTAAAGGCCCAGGCCTCTACTTCAACCCCAGTGCCACCGAGGACTGACATTGTGCAGGGCAGCCAAAAGGGCAGAGATGGAGGGGAGATAGGTAGGTGGGTGGAGTTGAGGCACCCCTGCAGTCTTAAGTTTTGATCACATGACTAAAGGGGCGCTGCAATGGCCATAACTTCGGGAACCAGACATAATATTCATTTAGTGCTGCCATAACTTCAAATGGTCATTGAACGAATGGTCATTAAGTGAGGACTACCTGTATATGTTAGGAGTACAGTCACCATATGATTAGCTGATACTATGTCCAACTTAGGATTTGGTGGGGAACACTGGCCTCCTAATATCAACAATACTACTTATGGGAAAAACGTAAAGGTACTGGGATGATTTCACGAAAAATGAACTGGGAAACCAAATTATTTACAGAAAATCATTAACTGGTACATTAATGAATATATAGGGGTTAGCAAAGCAGTTCGAGTTCCCAAGCTGTTTCAAGCAAATTTTTCATCAGAAGGAATTGAAAGCACTAACTGACGTATCCTATTGTCTAGTCAGGCTTGTCAACAAAGAGGCATTTTAGTTTTAAATGTAGTTTTTACATTTCAGTTTTTTTGTCTAGTTCTTGTAATTAGCATTTACCCTGAAGAACAACTGTCTCAAACATGTTAGGAGCTGAAATTGCTTCAGTCAATCATAATTCACTCTGGAGAGCCTTCTGGTACTCAAGATCTTGATTTCTTTCATTATTATATCCTAACATAAGGCAACTAGGAGGGCTGACAGAAAACAACAAAAGAATTTAGACATATAGTGTGTCTAAGCCACTTTCAAAAAGCCATCTGGGGAAATGGGCAGCATATAAATTTAATAAATAAACAATAAAATAGATAGATAGATAGATAGATAGATAGATAGATAGATAGATAGGCCAGATTGGTTCACTCATATGTTTTCAGCTTCTGAGTAGTGTTACTTTCCCATTGCTGGTTTCCCCAGCAGGTGTCCTCCTTTAACTGCTGCCTTTCTACACTCACCAGAATTTGGAGTGGGGGGAGAGCTTGTTTGGTTGCCTTGGGCCACCACATTGGTTGCATCCACTGCTGTTTTGGCTGCATAAATATTGGCCTCCTCCTGGAATTTCCCCATATTTTTCTTGTACCGGATTCTCTTGTTACCAAACCAATTGGAGACCTGTAACACAACAATAACTCCATTAATGTGTAAACAAATCACACTATCTAGTCAGCTAGTATCATCCTTACAGGATAGGAAGACCAAGCAAGACTGCTATCGAAGTGGGCAAAATGTAGTCATCCTTCAAGTCCCTATGGCACCAAGCCAAGTACTAACACATCCATTTAAAGTACCAGAAATCCTTTAGCAGAAACGTGAATTTGTGCTTTATAAAATCCCTTTCTGAAACAAAATAAACTCTGCTGTGAAAGATCTTGTTGAGCTTAATTTTTATTTTAGTCATTGTGTTTATATGCCACCTGCCCAGAAAAAATGTATGTGTTATATACCAATAAAATCCGTATTAGAGACATATTAACTCCCATGATATAAAAAAATAACACATTAAAATGATATCCAAATTAGGTGAGAGCAATTTAGAAGTTGTCAGAACCTTCACAATCAATCGCCTTGCTAGTTTGCTTGCTGCATTTCTGCCATTACAGTGATGGGGAGGAAGGGGGGGGGAAGGCTGGGAGGTTAAATGTTAGGTACAGATGGACTGTTATCTGGTTCTCAAGAATGGCCAAGGTCGTACCAGCATACCAGCATGAGACCTGGAGAGAATCTTCAACATGTGCAAGAGAGACTCAAAGACAGAAGGGGGGCAGGTGAAAGGGGAATGAGGTAAAATGAAATTCTGGTGTGTGCGGGACTCAGTTCCAGCTTTCGCTTTAGAGCTGTGCACTACTTGCCATTAAATGAATTTCTCTTTGAACCTGCATTGGTTTCAATGGGAGTTGCTTTCATTGGGAACTGAGTACTGCAGTTCTAATAGAAGTTAAGATGACAGTTAAAAAATAAGCTGAATATAAAAAACTGATTAAAACACAAAGCAGCAAAGAATACATCTGAATAGAGTGCTCAATGATACCTCAGTACATTAAAATATTTGATTAAACAGAAATGATTTCATATGCATGCAGATTATTAACTAGATTCCTTTGGAATGGAGTTCAAAAGGCATCCAGAGCCAAGTGCTAACTTTGAGACACTGCCATTCTAATGCACATTAGAGCACATACATAGGCCACAAATATCTTGCTTTTGATCCCACTGAGTCAGAAAATAGCCCAGAGAAAGATAGATGTGAGGTCCAACTTAACATTACAGCTAGGTTCTACTACAAATTCATGCTGCCTCTGATCTAATTCCAGAGTATGGCCATAACATGTTTTGTTTGTTTCTGAATTACTGTGATGTCCAAACCCATACCAAATAAGAAACTTCTCAGATAATACTAGCACTGGTTGCTCTGTAATCAAATAGATTTCTTTTCAATAAATTAACCAAAGACTTTTAAAATCTTATGGCAGGTTTCAGATTTGTAGCAAATATTGGATTTCTAACCTAATGAAAATCATCCAAGATTAGCTTGCATGATTCTACCAAACTTTATGAAATGAAGAAATGTAGGTACTTAGTTAATTCAACAAAAAGCCATTCTGAACAGTAACACACTGAAGGAAATCATGTGGCAAGATGTAACCATTAAAAAAAAATCTTCCAAGTAGGGTTTATTAGTGGGCCAAAGGAATTATACAGAGAACTGAATCTAGCGATAATATAGCAACATCTGGGACAGAATTCCATTGCCCTTCTAGTCAAAATTCCAACTCTGTGTGGACTGATTTAAGATTATTTATTCACTTATAAAATCATGACCAAGAAAAAAAAATACTGATTTAAAAATCCAAGCTTTCAGAAGGGAATTTAGATATATTTTTAAATTAATACAAAAGCCATACTATTAGTTTAGCCATGAATATACAATTTGCCAAAAGCAGAAGTAGCCATGCTAGCCAGGAAAAAAAAAAAAAGAATACCCAACTCCCTATTAAAGAACCACCTTTATTAGCTTGGTTCAAAATTATAAAAAGCATGCAATCTCCTGAATTTTCAAGAACTGTCCATCATATTGGCTGTGCAAGCCACACCTGCAGTCAATTATGCCTTAGAAAGAATGTGAGAGTAGCATGAAAATTAGACATGCAAATCAGATTCTATTCAAGTGACGAGATGGTATCAGATGGCATCAGGGCTTCCCAAAGATTGCTGGGATGAGGAAACAATATAGAATTACTGGTCCCTCATTTCTGGAAATCAGAAATCCATCTGGTAAGTATTTTCATCTACACAGCCTACCTGTGAGACTGTAATGCCTCCTTTCTTTGCTAGTTCTTCTTTGGCTTCTTCACTGGGGTAAGGATTACTCAGATGAGAATAAAAATACTCATTCAAGACTTCTGTTGCCTGCTTGCTGAAGTTACGTCGCTTTCGCCTGAGAACACATTGGAATTATTCATAAAGCCTAATATTAAACTAAAATATAGACTGTCCCAAGAGCTGGAGGAAAAGTCAGCAAGGACTACAGGAAAATACATAAAAGTTTGGCCAAACCATAGTTCTTAAATTGGAGTTGACTACTTAAGCTTTCCAAAACATAATTTATATTGAGGCAAAAATTAAAATATAAATACAAAAATATAAGTAATAGAACTTTCATACTGAATATTTTCAATATTTGAAATTCTATATTCCTATATGGTTAAAGCAAACTATTGATGCTTTAGCCAAACAAGAATATAAGAAGGGAGCATGCTATAATGCTAAACGTTGACACTAAAAGTACAGCCAAGATTACTGCTCTGCACACAAAACAGTACTTCCAAAATGATAGTATAAACAAAGTATCAGCAAATCTTAAGAATTAATTCCCCAAATATTTAAACTATATGATTCAAGATTGAAAACTTTAATCAACATTGAAAACTCTAATTCATACCACAACTGCCTACAGCTACCTAGAGTTCATGTTTTCCTTACAGAACACACAGTTCCCATCCCGTTCATTATTACAGGTAGTCCTCACTTAACGACCATTTGTTCAGTGACCATTCAAAATTACGACACTGAAAAAATGGATTTACGACCTGTGCCTGAAAATACAACCATTGCAGCGCCCCCACAGTCATGTGATCAAAATTCAGGTGTTTGGCAGCCTGCCTGCACTTACAATCACAGGGGGGCTTCAACTCTCCCCACCTGCCTATCTCCCCCCATCTCTGCTTTTTTGGGCCTATGCTCTGTCACCCCAGCTGACCTTCGCCGTTTTCTTGCTCCTGCTGAGAAGGCATGCCCGACCTAGCTGCTGAGCCCTATGGGGCTGACTTCTTGCTGGGAAGAAGGGAAAAAACACTGAAAGCAGTCTTTCTTTTTCA